GCTTCCTCCGTGCCTGTGGTTCACGCGTCGCCTTCCCGGTAGCCGTTTTGCTCCAAACCACCCCCATCTGGCTCACCTTGTCGTCCTGAAGCCGAATCTACCCTTTGTTTTATGTTTCAAAAGTTTAGTAAACCCTTTCATATACGCTATCACAGAATGCTAGTTGTTCTATGTTCAAGCAAAGCGACCCTGTTTCTTGGTACTCTCTCATTGCTCTCGGTCTTCTCTCTCCATAGAAGTCCTCTCTTGTTTCTTGAATAAAAATGTCAGGACCTGCAACATCTATATCTTTTTCTGGGACTCCTACTATAACAACAGAAAAATTAAATGGAAAAAATTACTTGTCTTTGACCTCCTCTGTTGAACTCTGGTTTCTAGGACAAGGGGTTTATGATCATCTAGAAGACAACGGAAGTACAAAACCAGCAGATCAGTCTTCTCAATGGAAGAAACTTGATTATCAACTCTGTGCTCTCTATTATGACAATCAGTTGAACCAAATATTTTGAGCACTCTCCAATCCTTCAAGACATGTAATTCCTTCTGGAAAAAGGCCCAAAATATCTTTGCTAATGATATTCAACGGCTCTATGATTCTGCTAATAGACTAGCCTCCCTTAAGCAAGAGGATAATAATATGATGTCTTTTGTTGCTGAAGCTCAATCAGCAGTTGAAGAATTAAAAATTTTCCTTGAGGCAGATTCATTAGAGGAGAAAAAGACGAAGCTGAATAAATTCTATATGGTTATGATTCTTAGGGCTATGAATCCAGAATTTAATCATGTTAGAGATCAAATTTTAACTAGACAAGAAGTTCTTTCTATGGAGAGCTTGATCACAAGGCTACTTCGTGTTCCATCTATCAAAGGTAAAAATAGTCAAGAACTTGTTCAATCTTCCGTCATGATTTCTGCTTGTAGAAGAGGTAATCACGGTAATAGAGGATGTGGTGGTAGAGGACGTCCTCATGCCCTCATTGCAAAAGAATGGGTCATACTAAGGAAAATTACTTTGCTTTGCATGACTATCCTAATAAGACAGTCAATACTTCAAAATCTGAAGTTGTTGAGTACAAGCTCTCTCATGAAGAGTATCAAGAATATTTAAAGATAAAATCAACCAGTCTGGCTCAAGCATATACAACTCTAAATTCATCAACTGCTTGCATTTCGCAATCTGTGGAAAGTCAAAATCCGTGGATTATTGACTCAGGTGCTTCTGACCACATGTCTGGTAATACATCTTTATTCTCCTCTCTATCATTTCCTAAAATTTCTCATCTCATATCTTTAGCCAATGGATCTAAAGTAGCCTCTAAAGGGATTGGTCAAGTATCAATCTCTCCTTCTTTAAACTTACAAAATGATCTTTGTGTTCCTTATTTTCCATTCAGTCTTCTTTCCGTAAGCCAATTAACCAAATCATTGAATTGCGCAGTAACCTTTAATGCCAATTATTTTGTTAAACAGGAACGTGGTAGGGGTTGACTGATTGGAGAAGGACATGAATCTGGAGGCTTATACTACCTTGGGACTAATTCATTTGTATCTTGTGTTTTATCCTTATCCCCAAAACTGTTACATGAACGATTAGGGCATCCTCATTTGGCAAAACTGAAAAAAAATGGTTCCTAACTTCAAAACCTTCAAACTTTTGAATGTGAATCATATCAACTAGGGAAATATACCGGTCATCTTTTCCAAATCATTGAATCTAGATGTGATTCTACTTTTAGTATTGTTCATTCAGATATCTGGGGACCTAGTCATGTTTCATCTTTTGGCTTTAGGTATTTTGTTACTTTTATTGATGGGTTTTCTAGATGTACTTGGGTTTATCTAATGAAAGATCGCTCAGAACTATTGCCCATCTTTAAGTTTTTCCTTAATGAAATCAAAACTCAATTTGGAAAAGTAATCAAAGTTTTATGAAGTGATAATGTCAAAAAATAATTTTCTAATAATTTCTCTGACGTCCTACATTCTCAAGGCATTTTATATCAGTCCACTTGTCCTCATACACCACAGCAAAATGGTATTACAAAACAAAAAAATAGACATTTGGTTGAAACTGCTCGTACCTTATTGGTTGGTGTCAATATGCCTATTCATCATTGGGGAAATGTTATTCTAATTGCATGCTTTCTCATTAATAGAATGGCATCTTCTTCTCTTGACAATAAAGTTTCACACTCTATTTTATTCCCAAAGGAACTACTTTTTCATGTTTCTCCTCGGGTATTTGGATATATTTGTTTTGTTCATGATATGTCTTCAAGCTTAGATAAACTCTTAGCTAGAGTTATCAAATGTGTCTTCTTGGGATATTCTCGTCTTCAAAAAGGATATCAGTGTTATTCTCCTGAAACCAAGCGATACTACATGTCTGCTAATGTCACTTTTTTTTAATCATCCCCCTTCTTCCTTTCTTCTGTGCAGGATATTGATTATGTCCAACATGTTCTTCCTATCCTCTTAGTTAAGTCATTTGTACCTCCTATTTCTAACACTCCAAATCTCAACCAAAATACTCCAGAATCATCATCACAACCTCTCATCACCTATCAACGCAGGAACCAAGTGAGCAATCCCATTCCCCAAGATGAGCCGCCCATATCAGGTCCTTCTCAATCATCTAAAAATAATACCACGGCTCCTGATAACGATGACTCTAGTTGGCTCATTCTCATTCGCAAAGGTACTCGTTCTACTTGTAATCCTCATCCCCTTTACAATTTTCTTAGCTATCATAGATTGTCTTCTTCCTATTTTTCTTTTATTTCTTTTGTATCCTTTATTACGATCCCCAAAAATGTGGCAGAAGCACTTGATCATCCTGGATGGCGACAAGCCATGATTTCTAAAATGCAGGCTCTTGATCACAACAAAACATGGGAGTTGGTTCCTCTCCTTTCGAGGAAGAAAACAGTTGGTTGTCGTTGGATCTATGCTATTAAAGTTGGGCCTAATGGTCAAATTGATCGTCTCAAAGCCAGGTTAGTGCCTAAGGGTACACTCAGATATATGGACTTGATTATTATGATACTTCTTCTCCTGTAGCCAAAATGACCACTGTCCGTCTGTTCCTTGCCATGACCGTCATTCGTCATTGGCCTCTTCATCAATTGGATATTAAAAATGTTTTTTTACATAGTGACTTAGAAGAAATTTACATGGAGCAACCTCCTGGATTTGTTGCTCAAGGGGAGTCTAGTTTGGTTTGTAAATTACGTCGATCTCTCTATGGCTTAAAACAGTCTCCACGTGCTTGGTTTGAAAAATTCACCTCTATTGTTCAAGCTTTTGGATTAAAAACGAAGCGAAGCAGATCATTTAGTGTTTTATTGTCACACTGCCCCTGGCAAACATGTTTATTTAACTGTGTACGTTGATGATATTGTCATCACAGGAAATGATGTTGCTAGAATATCTAAGCTAAAAGAGCAGTTGTGTAGTCATTTTCAGACCAAGGATCTTGGAAATCTAAAATATTTCTTAGGTATTGAAGTGACTCAATCAAGAGAAGGTGTTGTCATTTCTCAAAGGAGATATGCTCGAAATATTCTAAAAGAGATAAGTATGATTGATTGCAAACATGTGGTCAGCCCTATGAATCCAAATTTAAAATTAATGGCAGGACAAGGTGAAGCTTTCTCTGACCCAGAAAGATATAGAAGACTGGTTGGAAAACTTATCTATCTGACTATTACTAGACCTGATTTGTTGTTTGGTGTTGTCAGCCAATTTATGCAAGCCCCTTGTGTTGATTATTGGAATGCTATCATTCGAATCCTAAGATACATTAAAAGAGCTCAAGGACAAGGTTTGTTGTATGAAGATAAGGGAAATACCCAAATTTTTGGGTACTTGAGTTGGATCTCTTATGAAGATGCGATCCACTACAGGCTACTATGTTTTCCTTAGAGGTAATATCATTTCATGGAAAAGCAAAAAGCAAAACGTAATTGTCCGATCCTCTGCTGAAGTTGAATATAGGGCAATGGCGTCTCTCACTTGTGAACGTGTATGGGTAAAACAGTTCTTGCAATAACTGAACTTCTGTGAGATTCAACCTATGAAGATGTAATGTGATAATCAAGTTGCTCTCCACATTGCTTCCAACCCAGTATTTCATGAGAGGACTAAGCATATTAAGATTGATTGTCACTTTGTTCGGGAGAAGTTGTTGTCTAAAGAAATTTGTATTGAGTTTGTTGGTTCCAATGATCAGCTTGCAGACGCATTAACAAAATATTTGAGAGGGTCTCGAATGGAATTCATTTGTTCTAAGTTTGGTACATACAATTTGTATGCTCCAGCTTGAGGGGGAGTGTTGAGTATTTATTAGATTAGTTGTATCTAACTATTGACCTAGTTCCTAGAATATATTTGTTTATCTTCTCTAGATTTAATCATTTTCCCGTATTTATTGTATCTCAGAATTTGTATCTTTATCCTCTATAAATAAGAGAACACAAGAGAAAAGGATAGGCTCTCAAAAACATCTTTTTATTTTCCTATTATCTATTTCAAGTTCTCAGGATAGAAGTTGCATGGATGCAGGAGCAAGATTTTCACCATGGCCACTCTGCTGCACCATTCCGTGACAGCCAAACGGTCGCCATGCAAAACCCATTTTGCTACCGCCATGCCACAACAGCCAGCAAAAATTCCACCTCTGATTTTCGCCATGATGCCACCATAGCCATTTTTTTATAACACTGATTTATCTGGCTTTGAATGTACTTATTAAAGACATACAATAGATTATTCTAATTGCATGCTTTATGCAGATGATATAGTTTTGATTAAGGAATCAAGGTAAGCAGTTAACTTTAAACTTGAGTTTTGGAGACAGACTTTAGAACCTAAAATAGCGTATACATATTGCAATTTTAGTAATAGACAAGAGGATTGACTAGGAAATAAAAGAGGGTGGACTTGACTATATGTCATAGCACAAGTTTCTTAATTTAAAGGAGGATCAATACTACAGAATGATGGGGAAGCTAGTTGTGTTAAACATTGGATACAAGTGGCATGTTTATTGAGTTAGGACTATATCTACTTTCTAATATAGTATCATAACTTATCAAAGTGATGTTTGTTGTAATCTTTGTACTTACCACTATCGGACGATCCATATCTTTGATGTAAGGGTTGTTTTGAAAATTACCAATATTCTCGAATTGATGGGATGTATTAGAAATCTCACAAGTATCTAATCTCATGTTCGATATGTCCTTTCTTGATGTGAGGAGATGTATTGAAGATTCCACATTGACTAAAGATATGCCTAAATTTTAATATACAAGTAGGGTGCAAGCCTCTTCTTACAAACTGGTTTTGTAGAATTGAATTAAATCTATATCCATTTTCTAATAACATTATTTTCAATTAGGAGTAAATAAGGAAAGGGAGACCAAGAAAAACACTAGAGAAAACTGTTTAGAGGGATATCATGCTAAATAATATCTCAAAAGATTTGGTCTTTAACTGAATCCAATGATATCATGTGATTTATGTTGTTGACGTCACCTAATGGAATGAGACTTTTGTTGTTATTTTATTCTTCAAAGAAAATATTGTCTCTCTTCGAAACTTACACAACTTTCCCCAAGGATCAGCCAGTTAACATCTTCATTAAATCTTTACACAGACCCAAGATAAACATACAGATGTAACAAGCTCGATTCATATTCTTCACTATATGATTGCCATTTTTCAGATAATCTAAATTTCAAATATTCTTTTATTCTTTCCTGAGAGAGAGACCAGGCACAACAGAAAATTTGCCCCTTGGAGACCAATTGGCCATGGTTTCAAATTTGAAAAAATCTCTTTGCATATGCAGGAGAAGGCTATGTACAATGACCATCCCTTGTGCCTTCACACACCAAAAATTTCAGATTCAAGTATTCAAGAAAGTCTTGAATACCAACTGGATGCCATTACTTCACAAAATCTTACATATTGCACCCTTAACTTTGAAGAGTCATCAATGACAAGTCTCCCCAAAATATACTGGCAACTGCTCACCGTAATGGATAAAGGGAACACCCCAAATATTATAAACTGAATTGCAACTAAAAAGACAAAACGTAATAAATTTTAAATTTCCTCAGATCAGCAATTTGTAATTTGAGTTTCCCTTTAGCAATGGCCCTATTTAAGTATGTTTCCAGGGTGGTTTCACCCCAGATTATTGCTATCCCTCAGTAAAATTAACAAGTGGAAGTTGTTGGACGAGTTTTTATACCTTCAACCATTTGACAGAGAAGTTTCGCCCATAATGTGCAGTTCCATGAGCATATTTCCAGTTACCCCCAGCAACAGACCCACCAATTCTTGATGTCATCTTTGCACAACCCTGCCAAAACAAGACAATTTCAGGTTCAGGAAATTGGTCACTGCCACAGAAAATCCATTAGGGGTTTTTTTCATATATATTTTATAAATGAAAATTGTCAAGGTCTGACAGGCAGCATTTGATGATCTTAGTGAAGGAAACTATTATGTAAACATAATGCAGACAAGAAAATTACAATTATACAGACTATTCCTCTTGTGGAATTAAATCATCAACAGAAGACCAAGCAAGCAATAATATAAAATTAGTCGGGTTAACTCATTTCTTCATGCCTAAATTATAAAATTTAAGCATCACAACAAACTCGAAAAAAAAGTATCAATCATCTCTCATTCCTCCCACTAATCCAGTATATTAACCTATCTCAGGTATTTAAAACACAACATTACAGGTTGTTTGGATTCTAAAAGGGAACTGTTATGAGAAGTTTCAATAAACAAATAATACATATATAAATAAGAAAAACATGCTACACTGAAATTGTGGTTGATTAAATGTAAAAAGAAACTACTAACACAGATAATAGTTCAATAGATAAAGAGCTGTGATTTTTTTTGTTGCTTTGTAAGCTAAATAAAATACTGGCGATTTCTGTAGAAAATATTAAAAGTGATAGAAGCTCTAAAATCAGTCTTTGATCTACTTCTACAAGTCTCCCCCATCAAAACAAAAGTAACAATTTATACAATGCATGTGATAGCAGCAGAGAACTTGATATGCCATTGAAAATTTAAGAGATAAAAAGACCCAAACACAATAAGCAAAATTAAACAACCTGTTATTAAACATCCGATTTTTTATGTTTCTATTAATTAAAAACAGTACCAACTCAATCACCATATTAAATATTAAATATTAAATATTCTCACATTATTTTAAGTTGTTACTAACATTGACAAGTTATTTCTTAGCCAAAAGTTGTATGCCCGTAAAGCTGAATATGTTGATTTCCAGCCAATTGGCTAGTAAAGGGATCATGGCCTAAAGCCCATGAAATTTAACAAACCTAGCCAAATGGTGGGCTTAATACAAAACATACCTGGAAATGTCTAGTACGGTTGACTGAGAAAATCAATATCACATTTTCCACAGAGTCAAATGCTTCATTTAGTTTGGATTCATTGCTCCTTTGAGTTGCCCATACTCCTTGTTGTACAGATAACTCCAAATTTTCACGATTGCAACTTTTAACAATAAAATACCTAAGGTTTTGTGGGAAAGACATTAGAGCAATTCACACTAGCGAGAATAGTGATACAACTGAAGCAATATTTTATAGGTTTAAATACTTAATTTGAAGGCAGTGAACCCCTCATGAAAACTTATCCATTTTTTAACTTCCGGACCAGTATATCATAATCTATTAATCTCATGTTTAGTAATTGACTCTTGATTAAAATCATACATCAGGTAGTGCTAGTTTAGGCTCTAAAAACAGAGGATCAATACCATAACTTTAATTGAATTATAGAGACAACACAATAACAAGTTAAGGAAACAGAGATCTCTGACCTTGTAATGTCAAACCATTTAATATATATAAAACCTTCCTTCCCACCTTCAGTGTGTCACGACTACAAACCAGGACAGTATTCAACTATAAGGAATGAAGTACAGCTCCTTACAACAGAAAAATTCGCTGTAAACACAAAACCAGCAGGTGGAACATCAAACCACCCCCTTCACTACTGAAACAAGTCAAGAGTGTTGGATGTCTGGACTTCAACATGAGAAAGGGTTTAAGACATCCCATGTTGAATTGCATATATAAATCAGGGCAAGTCTCATCCCATGAGCTAGCTTTGAAGTTGAATTATGTCCTAACCAAATTCTAAGAGCATATAGTAGTTTATCCTAGTAGTTGCTATTGGACCACCCATTATCAAACCATCTATAGATGTCTAGTCTTGCAAACTTTACATACACGATATCTAATTCTGAACATCTAATTCTGAACACGAGAAGGGTGTGTTAGAAATCCCACATTAGTGATATGACCAAAGTAGTGTAAACAAATAATCTTAGAATTTGGACTAAGGACCTAACTCAACACCACAAAATTAACTTATAAAATGAGGATAGTCCAAACTTTGTAAGCTCTATTCATTTGAACCCCACAAAACCTACGAAAAATGGGATTAAACCTTATCTGAGGTCTATGTGGGACTATACCCACCCCCTCCCACTTATCACAAAGGTGCATGAGGGCACAAATTAAGGGGGACCAAATGTGTCCACAATTAACAAGGCTTAACATTAGTAAGGGACAATCTTCACCCCTTGAGCAAGCTTTGGATTTGAATTAGACTCAAACCAAAACATTAATATGATATCTAAGCCTAACAAGAGACAACACTATTTCATGCCTTCCAATTGATCATGTCAAAAAAAAAAAAAAACATCCAACAATCAATCATGTCTTTCCTCTAGGATGACCCATGGCATCTTTGACCTCTCCCAAGGTTGATCCTCGTACTTCCACCAACTATGTCCTGCCCCACTTTCTATTGACAAGTTGGATGGGGCAACTATGACACTTGAGCTTTCAACATCAAGCTTTGGCTTAAAGGTCAAGAATAGGTTAATCACCTAACCACAAAGATTGATTCTATGTGGAAGGTTTTTGTTCTCATTGGAAAAAGATTGATGCCCAACAACAAAATGTTATCAAATCCACAATTAAACCCTATTTGAAACAGATATTTTGTGTTGATACTAGTTAAGAGGTTTGGAAACATGCATGGTTCCTTCACAAATGATAATTAACACTTTTATGAATCCCCCACAAATATCATTGTTACCAACAACCTTGATGGTCCTACGGCTGAATATTTGTATAAAACTCATGGCCTTCTTCAACGAGTTTTTTGCCCCTAATGCCACTATAGCACAATAACTTAAATAGAAAAAGACTTTTTTCACGTTGTTAACCTTATATGGGTTACATGTAAAGTATTCTTCCATTTGGAACTAGATTTTGGGTTCTAATATTCTTTTCTTTGTACTTTGACTTTTACATGATGTACTCTATAGCAAGTGCCACTCAAACCCCTTGTTTTGAATGTTACTTCAACACTTGTTGATTCTTTAACCTTGGTATCTCAAAGTGGAACTCATGCTCAGTCCCACAAAAACAAACAAAACTTACCGTCAACATGATGTCCCATCCACATTTGTTTCTTCAGCCTTCGTAACTCAAAGTGGTTCTTGTGGTCAATCCCCCAAATCACACAATCTCACCATTAGAATAATCATTGCCATATGTCAAGCCACCCTATTAATCAATGTTATTCTCATTGTGGTTGTCCATGCTATTACACCACCTTTTGCTTCGACCTCTATCAACCACATTGCGTAAGACATTGATCTTTATTATTAAAATTTTGAGATTGAACCTAACTTAATCCTACAAAACTAGCTTGTAAGAGTAGAACTCTTCAAGCTTTACAAGCACTACTTATATCTAGTCAATGTTGGACTATATCCACTCCCTCACACCTATTCCAATCAAGGCACAAAAGCCACAAGTTAAGGCAGCCAAGGTGTTTCCAATCAAGGCAACTTCCTAATGCACCCACTCATGCCCAAGGCTTCTGGCCTAGAGTGTCAATAAGCGGCCCAACAATAAATCTAGGATAAACTCTAATAAATATAAAATTTGAGCTTGAGGCTTAACTCAACTCTAGAAAATTAACTTGTAAAGTGAAGATTGTAAAGTGTGATTAAGCATTTCTTCATCCTTATCTCTAGCCAATGCGAGACACATTGCCCACAACTAAGGAGACTTTCCAACACTCCTCAACCACCACCATCCATTTTCACTAAGTTCCGCTAGTAACATGAGGTTTGCCAAGCCTTTTGTTCCACTAATTTTGTTGCACAAACTGGTAACTCTTTTTTGGTCTTTCTCATTCTCCATCTGTTGGTTCTTGGATCATTGACTCATTCTTGGGCTAATAATTAGATTATTGGTAACAAATCTTTTTTCTATAAATTTCCCTTCCAAGTATTTTACCTTTAGTTACCATGGGTAAAGGCTTCCAAGCACAATCTCAAGCTCTTGATATTGTTCATCTCCTTCCCTATCTTTATCTTAATAATGCCTTTTATATTCCTAGTTCTCCTTTAAATCTCATGTTCATTTGTCATTTGACTTGATGCCTTAATTGTGTTGTTTCCTTTTTGCTTACAAAACCTAACTTTGGGACCGATGATTGGCTGCAAATGTTAGGCTCATGGTTTATATAGACTCAAAAGTTTTGCAAATGTTGCTCTAATGGTGGATTCTTCTTTTCTAATTCATGCTCACTTGGTCTTTCAAAGCTTTAACATCTAGTGGCAAGTCTTTCCAAGTAATCCATTTTATCACATAAGTCATGTCAATTGGAAAAACATATCCATAGTTTTACTCCTAATCATGTCAATTTCATCAAGTGCTCATACTCATCAACAAAATAGCTTCATTGAACAAAAAATAGACACTTATTTGAAACCATTCAATCTCTTTTGTTCCATGGTAATGTACCTTATCACATAAGTCTTTCCAAGTAATCCATTTTATCACATTAGTCATGTCAATTGGAAAAACATATCCATAGTTCTACCCCTAATCATGTCAATTTCATCAAGTGTTCATACTCATCAACAAAATAGCTTTCATTGAACGAAAAAATAGACACTTATTTGAAACCATTCAAACTCTTTTGTTCCATGGTAATGTACCTTATCAGCTTTAGGGTAATATTCTCCTTATTGCTTGCTATCTCACTAATCACATGCCCTTGTTAGTGATCTAGAATAAAAAACCGCAATCTGATTTGTTCCCTCACATATCCCTTTACCTCCCCTCCTTTTGTGCTTGGTTCAGCATGTTTTGTTCATAATCTTAGTCCTAGTCTTGATAAATTTTATGCCAATTCTGACAAGTGTGTTTTCCTTGGGTACCCTTCATCTCAAAAGAGGTATAAATGTTATTTTACTGACCAGTCTGTTTGCCATTACCCTCTCTCCCAAGCCAGTTTCTCCACTAGCACTCCTTTCATTGTATTTCCATCCTTGTCCCTTTTCCTCTCCTTCTTTCATAAACCAAAAGGCCTTCACTTCTGTCAGGCACATCTTTTTGTTTCTTTCCTCTCATATATACCTTGGGTCAATGGCAATCAATTTTTTTTCAGATAATAGAAAATAATAGCCCCTGACAAGTTTTAACATTCAGTAGTGAAGAACTTGAAGCTTATCCTGCTTGATCATTATATATCCAAGACGAACTAGAAACTAAAATGAGGATTTTGTATGGTTCATCCATTTAAGTTTGAATACTTCAAAGTAAATAAGTGGTAAAAGAAAATAGAAAATAAAAGAAGTAAATTTAAGTGTAACCAACCAATATTGTACAGCATGAAATGTATCTGTTCACTGCCAAGTAGATGGCCGTAAATTTAAGAAAAACTAGCTACATAAGGCAAATAATGGTATAATCTCCCAAATAAAAAAACACTTAAAAATGTACCTTGCTTATAGTATTTATGTAACAGTAAGCATACTCAAAATATTTTACATAGCTCGACTGAAAACTACAAGACCCTGAACACACCTAGATATTCCTTGAGGTAAAGGGGTTGCAGATCTACTGGCTTGATTAGGCTGGCCATTAGCAACATTTTGTATTTGGCTCTGGCTAACCTGCTGCTGAGACTGTTGAACTTGTTGCTGTGGTTGGGCATTTCCAGACTCTGCTGGTAATGGTTTTCCAGCCACCCCTTGATTTGTAGAATTAGTCCCTTGAGGAAGCTGGGATTTTTCAGCTTGTTGGGTATAGCTAGAACCCCTTTGTTGGAAAAATTTGTTAGATGAATTATAATTGTAGGAATATAAATGTTGGATCTTCTGAAGGACCTCTTCAACAGGAGGTGGAGGCCCAGGAGATTTTGCATGCCTATATCGGCAATCAGGCCCATTAGGACAAAATCCCAACTTGTACCTGCAGATGCAAAAGTTTTAAAATTAGAAGCATACAATTTGACAATATCTTACCACAAAGAAGTTAAAGTCAGAAACAATTGAACTCAACAAACATAGAATGAAAAACATTTTTGGACGAAAGAAGAATATTATTTATAAAAGCGTGGGGTAAATAACACAAATGAAACAATAGCTGTATAGCATATCCTCCCCAGACAGCATTGAAAGGCAAAATAGAGAGGACTGCATACATAATCCCAGCTTAAAAAAAAAAAAAAAAAAAAAATCCCTCCTAACTCTTCGAATATCCATCAAAGAAAGCAGCTCCATGTAAAACATCATACAGCTGCCAATAAGTAATTATTGATGCTCCATCAATAACAAATAAGGGTAGAAACTTATTTGCAAAAACTCATCAATAACAAATAAAGGTAGTAATTATTGATGCTCCAGCAGCTAGAATACAATGTATAATGAAAGTAGAAACTATAATTAAAATATGCAATCAAAGAAAGAAGAACAAAAGTACTGAAAATTTTATCACCTTGAACATTCACCACATGCCAGACTCCATCAACCAGTCTATAACCCTATAAAAGAATATCACTCAATTCATCTAATGAAACGTCCCCATTTATATATATATCAAGTAACTTGGTAGAAGACGCACATAAGAATTCTCAAACCAAACTAGTTGAGAGCACAAAATCCTTAACACCATAACTCACAACCAAACCAGAAACAACTTAAACACACGATATGCCAATATTCAATCAAAACTCAACAAAACCGGAAAAATTGAATACCAATCACCACAACCTAAATAAAAACGAACATATCTATACATACTCACACACTTACATGTTACACTCCTTGATGTCTTCATTGGTGTGTTTATACACGCAATCCTGTTCTCGACACTCTCCATAGAGCCTGAAGAACCGGCAAACAGGCATCCGCGCCTTGTCATACTGGTGCAGGAACCCGCAAGCGTCGCCCTTCATGCACAGGCTACGCAGCCAGTGCCGGCACACCGTCTGCCGGAAGCTCCGCCGCCCGGGGACGTTGCCGGGCCCGGGGTCGGCTGCGGAGGGGGCAGGAGGGGGAGGACCTCCGTTGGAGACGGCGGAAGCGGCCGCGGAGGAGTCGTGCTGAACGAGTGGGCCTGAGGGAGCGGCGGCGGCGGCGGAGGGAGCGGTGTCGAGGCCGCCCTCGAAATCGAAGCTGAGGACTCCCTCGGAATCCTCCATTGGAATTGAAGAGTGGAATTTAAAGCGGATTAAGTATTTGAAAGGTGCGTGTGAATACGATGCATTCGGAGACGAAGGAAGAGTGAGTCACTGTGGTGGAAAAAAAATGCGAGGGACCGAAACGGAAACACTCAGCTTGCTGGTTCGTGATTTTGGAGGACGCGCTTGGGTTTTTGAGTTCTTCTGTTTTAGGTTTTACTTGGGTACCATATTTTTTTTCTTTTGTTTTAGGTTTTATTAGTATAAATATGATAAGATTTTAATTTATATGGCAAGCTCCAATAAAATATAATCTATCCTCTTTGCTAAATTAATACATTTTTGTCTCTCATTTTAAAATAAAATGATTTATTACTTATTTTAGAGAATCTTATTTAATTTTTATTTATATTTTTTTTCTAACATGTTTTATTAATTAAATATTCTATAATATTTTAAATAAATATCTCAGATCCAGATTGAATTCAAGCAAACTAAAATAAATAAAAACATAAATATGTTAGATCTAGGGTTCAATTCAAGAAAAAAATAAATGAATAAAACATATGTAAATTAAATACTTGATCAAAATAGCATATTTCCTAAAATAATGGTACTTAATATCTCTAACCTAAAATAAATAATAAAAAATTCTGATTAAATAAAATTGAAGAACTAAAATTGTATTTTTATTTTATTTTATTTATTGGTAAAAATATTAAAATTTTACATAATAAACTCGTTAAATAAGTAATGTTGTCTGTAAATCTTATTTGATTTTAAAATTTTCTGTAAATTATATGGATTATACTCAAAAGAGTATATTAGAAGAGATTACTATATGATCTAAGATAATTACATGTCAGTTATTCTAACTTATTTTAACGTGGCTTAAATTAAGTTTTACTAATTTTTGTTTATGAATTAAAAACTAGATTAGGCGTCATGAACATTCACCGAAGAATAATCATATGGTCATCTCAAAATTATAAATTAATATATGTACCAATAATATAAATGGTTTCCATACCATTGTCTAATTAGAAATCATGCTAATAATGATTTTCAATATAGTTATTAACAGTATCAACAAAAACTAATATGCATATCAATTTTTTTATTTGTTTTGCAATACTTTCTTAATAAACGACCAGATAGTACTCTTACCAAAATAATGGATCTAAATTTGGCTTGCTATCTTCTCATAAACTTGAAGTAACAAGATACAACTGAAGTGATAGGTGGGGTTGCATCAGACTTTTTAAAAGATCATTATCCGGTAATTACAATTAGTATTTTCTTTTCTTGTAATATGTGCATTTAAATAAGCTTGGCAAAAGGACTAAAGTGCCTTGGAGCCACCATATAAGTTTGAGGAAACTGAATGTCATATCTTTAGGGGTAGGATTAAGATTTGCAAAGTAGAGTTTGGTTTAAATTTAGGCTACAAACTCTGTTTACAAAAACGAAAGTCTTCGTCTCAATAAAACTGGTTTCTAAATAAAAGTTTAACATACTAACATATTTTAAAGAAAAAAAACAATTGAATTTTCTCTGTAAACTAAATTTGAAGACCTGAAACTAAAAACCAAAAATTGTTTATATCTATCAAGAGGTCCGATCCTGAGCAAATCCATTTTTTGACAGAAAAACTTTTACTATTTTTGGTTACTTTAATTAAGGAAAATGTCATATTATCTGTTAAACCCATCAAAGCACTTTCACCACATGGAATGCACCAAATTGATACAGACGCCCAAAATTTTCTTTTAGGTCCGTCATCACTTTTACCACATCCTGCCATTGATGTTGTTTCAGGAACAATATGCAGTATAATATGGGATGGGCACAATAAAAGCACTTGGTACTTCAATTGAATACTTTAATATACTAATTAAACTTAAGTAAATCAAAACATCAAAAGATTCAAAGGCTGCGCCAAAATAATTGAATTGAAAAGATAAAATTGACAAAATATATAAACCTCCAAAACTGAAGGAAAAGCTTACTTACTCCTAACTCACCATTATCATTCAGTGACGCATATCACATAGCATCTCAATATCCTGTAATACAAACAAATTCTACAACAAACAAATACGTAGTAATCATAAATACAAGAATTATGTTGTATAATTAGTAGCAAATTACATTGTACAATCTGAAATACAATCCAAGGTTCACCAATCTATGCCCAAGTCTCTAGAAACAAATAGTTTGTCAATGTATTGGATTAGAGGTGCTGATGCTGTGACATAACTTTGCATGTGAACTTTTGCTGACGCCTCTGAAGCAAATATTCCAACAACAAATAAAAAAGAAAAGTGAACATCATAATCACGTCAACTTTAAATTACTAAACAAGTTTGAACAAAAAAAATATCTGACAATGACTCCTTTTTCCTATTCTTCTAAACAGTCTTGAATTACCTTTGAGGAAGAATGCTAAATAAGAATAACCGCAAGAAACAATACGATTAAACAAATAGAATTCATATCATGTAGTTTTAATGTGTTATGCTTCTAGAAGCTGTTAAGGACATAGACGCTGGCTACAGAGCAAAGTTGGGACCTTAAAGAGAAAAGCTACATCATCAAAATGTGGTGGTAGATTTAGATTACCATGCCACAAACATCAAGGTTAAACCAGAGATGCAATTGCTAACTTAGAAAAGGTAGGGGAAAATGGTAAAGTATTAATTCATCGCAAATAGATTTTACATAACTCAAATCTCAAGCTGCCTGTCTCCCCAGCTCAAGCTCCAAAGCCAATTAACTTTCCAGTGATATTTTTCAGGATTTAAATTTCAATAAAAGCGCAAGCAAGCTAAATACTCTAATTACCATCCTCATTGAGTTTCTTCAGAAGTTGTTCCTTTGTAGGAAGGACATACATTCCAGCAGAAACAGCCTTCCGGATTGCCCAACCATGGTGAGGTGCAAACACCTGATCGTAAGCTTTGGAAGCTGGATCCTTAAGGGAATTACCCCTGCCAAAAAGACACATAGTAACTCAGCTCATTTACTATCAGATCTAACACCATGTGTTTCTTACACATAGATGTATTTTCTGACTTAACATAAGAAATAAACTTTGGTTTAATATTTATCAATTATGCAACCCACCTCAGCACAATAAGGCTGTGGAGATAAACAAGATGAATGGGGAGAATATTCTCAATTTAACAACTTCTATTATTTTTCTCTTTTCATGAAACTGATCGTAAGATTGAACCTGAACCAGTTGGCTGCTGATGAGAGAAATGCAGTAAGTTTACTGGTCAGTAGTAGTTAGTTTACAAAGGAAAATGACAATTAGAGCAGTCACCAGCTTTAAACAACAGAGTACGTAAGACAATTAGAGCAGTCACCAGCTTTAACAGATTGCTTGTATTATTTAGGGGATGAACATCGAAAAGGACAAGGTATGAAGAACAACTACTGTACTAAAAAAAAAGCCTTAGATAAGATTTTCAGACTCTTCCTAGAGTGTTCAACTTTTGTTAGTTGCCTCTTGTGGTGACTTGAGTGCGTATTTCTAGATTTTCATGTAACTCTCCACGTCTGATTAATGTGGCTTGATAGTTAGCAGCCCCACATGTTGAGTAGTGGGTCAAGCACCCTTCATACTTGGTAACTCCTTAGTTATAAGCGTATTTTGCGATCAGTTGATGATGGTAGGGATTTAGTCTTAGGTTCCATAGGTTGTGTTTTTCAGTTTTATGGGAGGGATCGGTACTGTAGCTAACTAGCAAAGTCAGTCATTATGCCGATGTATAACGAGACACTAAAACTACAAATGAACATATAGTTCCACACTTCAACTAGATTATTTTAAAGGAAAAGCCCATATGCTAGGCACCAAGCCAGCCCATAAGATAAAGGTGTGGCAAGTTGAAGATTGGACTCGCAACTAGGCAGGCCACCTACTTTCCTCCTCTAGCCTACTGTTCAAAAAACACAAACTAAATATAAGCAAATTAAAATAAATGGTAAATATGGCATTTCTATTCCTTATGCCTTCATTCATACAAAACAAAAGGGAAAGGGTTCAATTGGTACTCTCCCTTTTTTCTCATGGACAAAAGCAGAACCTTACTCTTCAGCTTCATTGCACTCTATTTCCACTCTTTCGCAAGGTTTCAGAAACGGTCCAGAATCAGGGTTTTTGGTGTCTCCTTGACAACATTGCAACGGCAGTCCCAATGCTGCAGTATCAAGGATGTGACTAGGCTACAACCACAATTTGAAAGTAGCTCTTCATTGTCTTAAAATTATCAATCCATAGCAGCATAGCAAACTTGGAATTCAATATTCCTATTGTTTCACTCATACAAAGCGGAAGGGTAATGCCTCAATCATCACTATCTTTTTTCCACATTGACTACTGGATACCCATAGATGAGTAATGGAAGCTATCCCTTTATTTTCATTGCAATCTATCTCCACTCCTTTGGCAAGGTTTTAGATAACAGCCCGTAGCCACAATTACAGTTGCAACATCAAGAGGGTTTTGAGGTCCCCTAGACCATATCGCGACTAAATCACAATCACAAGTTAAAACCTCACTCCTTAGTGTCTTAAATGAGAATTCTTATTCCTTAAAGTGGATGAAAAGGAGAAACTATCCCTTCATTGTCCGTGCACTTCATTTCCACTTTTTCGCAAGGTTATAAACACAGTCCACACAGCAATTGTGACCGTAACATCAGGGTTTTTTGGAAGTCTCCGCACCACGTCACAACTACAATTGTAACAGTAACATCAAGGTTTCGGAGGTCTCAGCTAGCAGGTCACAACCACAATTGCAGCAACAATTTTCGATAATATCAACAATCACAATTTACAACATTGTTCCAAGCATAATGTAAACCAGTGAGTGATGCACATACTCAGTAACTAGAATCTGCTCAAAGAGTACTCTGACCATGTCAAGTCCGCGCTTCACTCTCAGCAGATTCCGCGTGTGGCTACCTCCCTTCCTGACAGTGCCATTTCGCACATCCAGTTCAATCAGACACTGTAAGCTCTGAATAGACTTCGACGCCTCAGCCAGATCATGAACCTAAACATCACCACATCAAACAATCAACCACAATCCATTCCAGCCATAAAAAACAGCATCAAGTGAAAAAATAAACAATAAAAAGGTTTAAATCTACGATCCTCAGTGAGGTAATCGAATACCTTGGCAACGTAATCCATCTCGGCGAACTTGAAGGCGACGCCCAAGCAACCAAAAAGAGGGGAGACGAGAGCGCAGGCGTGGGAGAAGGGAGCAACCTTCACCTCTAAGCTCTGCGAATCGGTGACGACGCTCGCAAGTTCCTTGAATGCCTCTGCGATTCTCGGCAGAGTTCTGTCACCGTTCCCCTCTGCCATCGACAAGGACGATCCTTCCCTTCGCACTCTTTCTTTGCTCAATTGCTGTGTTTGCTTCTTCGAGTTGTTCTAGCAACACCTTCGAACTTCTGTAGTTGAGTTTCCAAAGCTATGGTATGCTTCACGTAATTCAATTTTCCATGGAATTTCGTTTTAGTTTTAATGCTTTTAAAAATATTATTTTGGTTTTTTGTATTTTTTATAAATTACAAATGATAAATTATATCTCTTTTTAAAAAATAAACGTCAAACAAGTGTTTTAAAAAAAAACCATTAAAAAATATCTAACTATTTTAAAAATTAGATCTTTGATTTTAACTTGAATGTTTTTCATCATATATAATATCCATGCATTACTTGAATGCATTATATAAGGAGAAATTTTATGTTCTTTTACTGAAATGGGATTTTTTTTTTTTTGTCAATGCATAAATTAAAAAAAATTATATATATATATATATATATATATATATATATATATATATATATATATATATATAATTGAGAAAATCGTACTAACATCACTTCAAAATAAAAAATAAAAGGTGTTTTATAACACGATTTTAATTTAATTTTTTTTAAGATTTAGATAAAAAATAATACTAGTATAACTTCTGTTACTATATTATTATGATTAATAATAATTCTTTTGAATATTATTAATAATATTAAAATAATAATAGTATTAATAATAAAATAATATAATTATAATTACTAATATTATTGGTTATATTAATGATATAAATATTTTAATTATTATTTATTTTGTTATTAATTATAATCATAATTAAATTATGTAATAAAAACTATTATTATTATTTATAATAATATAATTATTATTAATAATATTAATTATTATTAATTATAATAATAAATATAAACATATTTATTATATTTATTTTATTATTAATTGTAATTAAAATAATATTAATAGAATAAATTGGTATGCTAATAACTTTTTAAAGATCAACTTGAATTCTTAGGAATAGGTTTAGATTATCTTACTTTTTATTTATTCTATAAATTTATGATATTGATTTTGGTTTATTCTCCTATGTATTTTTTATTTTATTTTTAAATATCGTTACTAAAAACTTAGTTATTTCTTGTAAGTTAAAAAAAAAAACACTATTTATATTGGTAGGAAACTTATTTCTTACTATTTTATAAAAAAATTGTAAAAATATTTTCACAAAATATGAATATTTCCAGTAGTGTATTATATTTGTATCAAAAAACGATATACCAAGAGTGAGATATTATTTATATTAATTTATTAAATAATTATTATAAAATATAACAATATTATAGTTTATGATATAATTATAATAAATATATAATAATAATTTTATAATATAATAATAGAAATCATATTAAATAATACAACTTTTATATAAATATTTATAGAATTCGTACTTAGTACATTTCTCCCTAAATTAAAAAAAAAAAATCGTAGAAGCACGATTTCTTCGTTATCCAAATCAGTAAATTTTAAGAAAAGTTGCACTGTTTCAACGAAAAAAATTGAAATTTTCAATCCAAATTGATTGTCTAAAAAACATTAATGAACGCACTCATTGATCCATTTGTTTTATTAACAAATGATTTATGAAAATAATTTGAGTTTGTAAAATATATTTTATTTTATTAATGTTTAAATTATTTTATTTTCTGATAAAAATAAATAAATAAACTTTCTAAATATGATTATAATAGGTATTTTAAACACGATCTTGAGAAAATGATTAAATTTAATATTGACGTGTATTTAATATTCAAAATCAAACTTATTTAAAAGAATAATAAAAAAATTATTAGAATTTTTTTCTTTTATAATTTTTTTATTATAAAAATACCAAACTATATTATGATAAAAATATTTTTTTAAATTTATATATAAAAGAAATTGATACTTATGTAATAAAACAAATTGATCTTCTCAAACTAGAAACATTAATTTAATTATACTCATATTTTATGTTGTATTTAACCGTCTCAAATCCATTAAAATTACAAAATGTATTTAATTATTTTGTTACATATTATCTTATTAATTATTTTTAATCTATTATTATTATTAGTAGTATGTATAATATTAGATATTATTTATTATCTTTTGAACCATCAATTATTATTTTTTAGATTATTATTGTCTTTTTTAGTTTTATGAGAGGCTAAATTAGAAAATTAGTTTTAGGGGAATCAACCAAAACAAATAAATTTTGAGAGGATTGTAATATTTTTTTTAATAAAAACTTAAAAAAAATGCAAGTTATCGGTAAAATAATCTTCAAGATTTCTTCTATCCCATGGTCCTAAATAGTAGCGGATCTTGATCATTGATCTTGGGGTCAAATAATATATTATTAATAAATAATAAATAAATATAAAAGGAAGAAAGATGATAAAATGGTGAAATAATAAAATTGTAGATACATATTTAAATATATTAAATGATCATTAGGTTTGAGGGGGAACAAAATCATAAATTATATGAGAGTTACAAAACTAAGGAGGGACTAAAAGGATAAAATTATAAATATACAAGTAAATATATTAAATGTTCATTAAATTTAGGGGGCTAAAATCATAAATTACGTGAGAGTTACAAAACTTTGAGGGGGTCACAGTCCCCCTCAACTCCTAAGAAGATCTGTCACTCTATTGGTCCTAACCAGAAGCTAGATGATATTAAATTCAAACACCAATATGTATTCTACAATTGTCATCAACAGTCTTAAGAAATATATAGATGAATGTCAACAAACAAATCATCAGGAGATAAAAGGTTTGTAAGCGCAAAATGAAGTTAAGCTCATGCAAATTCAACAAAAAGCAGTAAAAGATCTGGAATTAGTTCCAAAGCAATATCAGGTCAAGCTCCAAACTTTACAAAAAAAGAAATTAAAGGCCTTTATTAAACAACTCCAATCAATCAAGTCAAATATGCAATTAGAAGATACCACAACATCAGTCAAGCGTGAACCTAATAATCACGATCATCGACTATCAAAACGCACACAAGTAAAAAGTCAACGTGAACACAAGTAAAAAAAATCCTTTTAAACACAAGGTCAAGCCACCAAGTCAAGTAATAAGGAACCAAGGGATAATGTTAAGCACAGGCACACTAATCAAACAACTATTAAACTCCCACCTTGGAGCTCTTGTTAAAAACTTATGGTCAAAGCCTTACCTTAGCATAATTATACACATTCTCAACAATATACACAAATAATCAAAATATGCGAAAAGGATAACAATCATTAATTCATTCTCCTAGCTAATGGGAATCACTTATGTTGGAAAAGTATGATGGCTCAACAAAGTAAATTTGTATACCAATAATGGAGTAATCATGTGTCGAGTTTTTTCCACCATGTTACAAGGACCAACATTATGATGGTGCAACTCTTTATTAGTTTCAAGTTAGGCTCCCAGCAAATAATACGCATGAAGCCACTTTTGTGACTTTAGAAAGTATGAAACAAGGTGAGGGTGAATCTCTTTACAGTTTCATGGAATGATTTGAAAAAGTATCAAATTCCTACCAAATTTACACTAGGTTGTTGCATTACACACAATATAAGTTGTTATAGACATTTGATTAATAGTTTATTTGTTTTTCCATTGAGATCCCTTGATGAGTTTCGTGCTCGAGCAATCAATATATTTACATGGAGGAAAACAATGTTAGATTTAAAAAAAAAAAGGAAAGGCACTTCACTACAAAAAAAAAGCCTATTACCTACGGAATATTACCTACGGATAAAAATCCGTAGGTAAATTTTACATTACCTACGGATATTACCCACGGATGAAAATCCGTAGGTAAATTGTACATTACCTATGGATATTACCTACAGAATTCTATTCGTAGGTAATTATCCATTACCTACGGATATTATCCGTAGGTAATGTAATCCGTGGATAATTTCGTAGGTAATTACCTACGGAATTTTATCCGTAGGTAAAGTGTACATTACCTACGGAATTCTATCCGTGAGTAATTATCCATTACCTACGGATATTATCCGTAGGTAATGTCATCCGTGGGTAATTCCGTAGGTAATTACCTACGAATTACCATCCGTAAGTAAATTATATTAAACTAAAAGAATTGTCACTAGCAAGAATCGAACCCAGTACCTTAAAGTTGAAAACTGATACTCATACCACTAAACTATTAGGATATTCTAATAATAATTTACAACTAAATTATACTTATATTTATTTGTGTAAATATATAAATATATAAATACATAAATACATAAATACATAAATACATAAATAGATAAATATATAAATATATAAATACATAAATATATAAATACATAAATACATAAATACATAAATATAAATATATAAATATATAAATATAAATATATAAATACAAATATATAAATATATAAATATATCAAAATATAAATATATTTTATATTTATATATTTTATATTTATATATATTTTATATTTATATATTTTATATTTATATATTTTATATTTATATATTTTATATTTATATATATTTTATATTTACACGGATAAATATAAATATAATTTATTTGTAAATTATTATCAAAATATCCTAATAGCTTAATGGTTGGAGTATCAGCCTCCAACTCGAGGCATCGGGTTCGAATCATGTCAATGACAATTCCCTTAATCTAATAATAATTCAAAGTTCCAAAAATATAATAAATAATAAAAATATAATATAAAGGGGAGGGGTTGTAATAAATAAAAATATTTTGTTTAGGTGAATGCATTACCTACGGATTATAATCCGTAGGTAATTACCTACGACCAAATTACCTACGGATTTTTGTCATTACCTACGGATTTTACCCGTAGATAATAGACATTTTTTTTGTAGTGCTTCTCACTAGTACAAAATTGGGTTTGTATGTCTGTTATTTTGATCTTTTTACGTTAGAAATAAGTCCAACATTAATACAAGAGACGTAAATTTACATTGAACATCATGGGTAACTAACATAA